CGCAAGCCTGCGTTTGAGTGAAGGTCTCGGCCGTTAGATCGCCCCCTGGGGGCTGGCTGCAGTACAAGTCATAAAGCCCGCCTCCTCCGTGTTAATGAAGGAGACTTGAGCCCAAATAAAAAAATTTATTACACTTGCAATAAAATGTCCCGAAAGATAGTTCTGGTCGATTAAGGCACTGGTTATTGTGCTGAAATAGGTGCAGATCTTCATTTTTGTAAACAGTTTGTTTTTAACAGTAATTTAATGCTGGGCGTGTCATCGTGATTGACAGTTTCTCAAAGCAGCGCGTCTGAGCTTCGGCAGAAGACTGAAGTGTTATTACTCGATTTCTGTGATATTTTACTATGACAAAATGAGTTCAGCAGTAAACTACAGTTTCTGACATACATGATCTGGTGGAACACTGTTTATTCGCTAAGGTCAGAGCTTTTTTCGGGCTTTATTAGTTTGCTAATACACGCCTAGCCACCCAGATAGCAAAATACACTGGGGCCAGTTCTTGCCTGCCGGAGACTTACCCCTCAGACTGACTACCTCTGCTGGACCTACTCCGGATGCCTGGACTCACTGCCCGATTCCAGCCTGAGTCAATTGAGCCAGATGCGGCGGCCGAGCGAGCAGGCTCTGCCGCATGCGAGCCGGAATCAGCCCGCGACGCCGCGACTAGGTTATGCGCTGATGCCCGGAGCTGGCGCGATTGAATCTTCATTATATAAAACCCTCACATTTGTTAACGTTATTACACCCATTTTTGTTGATATAACAACAAACGCATGCTACTATGTGAACACAAAGTGTATCACTGAGTTTAACCTTTGAATAAAGATGCAAACAGCAAAGCAATTATTTAAATAAAGGACAAAATAAATAACAATAAACCTGTATCGATTGCACAAGTATTAAATAATAATAATAATAAATACGAAAATGACAATAAAACTGCACAATAAAATAAACCCATTTAAGTACGGGGTATACAGGAGATCGTTAGCAGTAATTCTCTTTGTGTTTAAATAATAATCTCCACGTTGATCTCCTGTAAGGTTATTTGAACTTGCTTTATAGGACGTCTCTGCATTTTAAGTTTTGGCATGTTATTAAGTGATCTACTGAATGTGCTGTTATAAATCATTATAAGGTTCTTGAAATCAAATCTTATATAACCTAATAGAGCTGTAAATGTTAGATATTATTTATTTACATCATTTACTGTTGGCGTTTTATTTGAACACTCCAGCTAACATTAAAATGAATGTAAATTCCTCGTTGCCAGATATAATGAAGGCATCGAATAAACCAAATGAAAACGGAGGCAAAAAAATTAAATAAACAATTCAAGCGAAAATGAATAAACAATATACTAGTGATGTTACAGCAGATAGACGTTGTATTAATAGTGCAAAGTTTTTTTGCACAAATTGACAAATTGCAGGGTTGGGATGTGTAAATATCCTGTTGATATTTATCTTGCTGTATTTATCTTCTAAACGCACGATTGTTCCCGCATGGTAAATCGTTATGGTGTGTAGGCTATATTTTGGGTTCTGTTGATGGCTAATTAAAAATAAAAACCTTTCTAAAAATGTATGTGTTGTTTATATGTTATTGTTTATATTTTACAAGTGTTATTTCTACCCCTATGAAGATAACAAATACCAACAACAAATATAACAATAAGAGAATATATTATCTGTGCTCATATTCAGGCTAGAGTGTATAAAAGATCGTTTATTTCTGCAGTCCACCATGTATTGCTTTTATTAAAGTTTAACAGCTTACATCACACCGTTTTTAAACCGTATATTATTGTGTTTTTTTAATGTAAGTGCTTCTATTTACATCAGTGAGCGTTTGTTATAGTGCAGACACCGGCAGTCGAGTGAGAAGTTCGGGGGGCGTGGTTGATTTTACATAAAGCGTTTGGTTGGAAGCTCAACTCCAACCAAATTTCAGCAGTCTTTTGCGACAGTTTGTGCCCGTCAAGCAGGCGTTTTGCCCTCAAGGCGTTCATTGGCAAAAGGGGCTGTCGCGTCGTCCATATTTTTTACAGTCATTGGTCAGAACAAAGGTTTAAATGCTAAAACAGCTTGCCATACACGCGCCTCTATCAAAGTCCGCCCTCTGTAGTAACAGCTCACGGTCAGCTCATGTCATGTGTGATTTTGCGGCGGGAACATTATATGAAGACAGAATGATATTTTAGGGTGAATTGTACCTTATAAATACAGTATGTGACTCTTTCAACACCATTAGAAGGTATCCATGTCGCTGTGCAAAGTGTGTAAATCACTGTGAAGACTTTAAAACTTAGGCTATGTTTGACCCAGTATGCGTGTCAAAAAGCGGACGAGTCTAAAGCAATGACTGTACAACCGAAATGTTGCCAGACGTCTGATTTTGAGAGGATGGGCCATCCTCTATTTCAGCTCCACTCATCTTGGTCTGCTAACATTACTGCTGCTGCAATCTGAACTCACGTGCGACAGCAGGTGGAACGTAGCTCACGTGCAAACAGCTCAACTAATAAGAGAAAACGGACGTCATATCGTAATCAAATCGTCATAACGCCACGATGCATATTGTGACATTTTTGCATCGCAATAAATCGTACAACGATAAATCGTCACACCCCTAGTGTACACATACCTTAGGAATGGTATCATAGACAATTTTGGCGGTTTTAAAACCTTGACTTATCCAAACCACGGTATACCTTGAAAACGGTTATCGTCCCATGCCTAGTAGCAATACATATATATGTATACATATATATATGTATACATATATATGTTCCAAGCAAGCTATTTATAAAGATACAAAGTTTCAAAACCGTCCAAGCGAGTCCGTTTAGCGAAAACAGACATGGCAAATGATACATTTTTCATGAATGTATCCTTCGATATTAGCTATGAAAGCCCAACAGATGAAGAAGAAGATGAAAAGACGACATAAATGGAGCAAACTGCAAGAAGTGTAGCCGTTACATCAGCAGATTTGGACTATTTAGAAAAAAATCGGCATGAATACAACACTCTTCGGCAAACCGTATGGGCAGTAAATTGTTTAAAGTAACTCTGCACTCCTTGTTAGATCTAAAGTGCCGTTTGAATCTTTAAAAGATGCTTGCTCAGCTGTTTAACTGTCAGCTTATGATTTGAAACCAATGTGTAAGAAAGTAGTTCCTCATGCAAAAGGGTTTTTGAGACCCTCCATGTTTGATTTTGTTTTTATACGCATAATTATGCCGTCAAACTTGTATAAACGCAATATCACAGGAGAAGCAATGCGATATGGCTGTATATCGGCACTGGTGGGAGGCGTGCGTTGGCACGACGCCGCAGACCAAGTGCCTTAGTGCCCCCACCAGTGCCGATATACAGCCATATCGCATTGCTTCTCCTGTGATATTGCGTTTATACAACAGTTACAGGACGTTGCTGGCTGTAGTTCTGCGTCTAAAAAAAACTGGCTATGCGTCTCACTCTTCCAAGTAAGCCTGTGAATGATGGGAGCTTCAGTGCACGCTGAGAAGCTAAATTGATGGCATGCCAGGGTCACTCTTTCTGCCGAGGCAAGCCATGTTGTGACATGTATCTTTACCGCTTCATAAATTGTGGGCACTGCTACGTCCGTTGTGTATCTGTGAGTGGGGATCATGGTTCCATAGTGTTCACCATATGCCTGAAGTTAGCATTTTCAACCGCACTATACGGCCGCAAATCCTTGCAAATGAAGTGCACACCTGATTCCGTTATCTTCTTTGCGTGAGTTGAGTTGTTGACAGGGACGGACTGGGACAAAAATTCAGCCCTGGCACCATAGCCACACCAGCCCACATTACCATACGTACTGTTTGTTTGACATTCTTGCCAGATTTTGATTATGTCCGCGTAACCTTTGATTGAGTCGGCCCCTCTCGAAAATATCACCGATTGGGCCAAATGCTTAACATTTACTATTATTATTACTGTTATTACCATCATCAACGTCATCATAATATTCACATGTTGCGCGAGATAAAAGCTGCCTGCATGTAAAAACAATAAATATAAAAAATAATAATAAAATAAAAAATAAAAAACTGACCGGCCCACATTTTAAAAAAGTGGTCCAGCCCTTCTGGCATTTGCCAGAATTCCCAGATGGCCAGTCCGCCCCTGGTTGTTGACAGGGCCGGCGCTTCCATATAGGCGGCGCCTAGGGCGGCAGAATAGAGAGAGCGGCGACTCCGAAACTATCCTCGCCACCCGCACCCGCAATTATAGCCGCGTCTAGGGTGGCAGAACGGATCGCTCCCCCCCCTGGTTTCACTTTAAGTTTGAGGGCGGCTTGACCGTCCTTTGCCTAAAGCGGCAGTTCAGCTTGCTCCGGCCCTGGTTGTTGATGATGTTATCCAGTGTAGTTTGCTTTGAATCAAGAGGTTTCGGTTGGGGTCACAGTGCCGCTAATTCATCTGTGTGCTGTTAAGTGATAACGCTTGTTTGTAGTGTTTCCTGAATATTTTAAGACAGATTTGCAAAGCTTACAAATGGCATTTTTTTGTGTTTAATTCCGTACTCCTTGTTATAGTGTTAAATCTAAAATGCAGCCACTCTTCAGCTCTAAAAGCCAGAGGTGCCTTTATTTCTTCCGCCATGCTCACTCTTGCTCACTTCGGATACATTTTCTTGTTAATTAAAATGAAACTTTTCAGATGGTGCTCTGTGGCGTGGCAGAAATATAAACAGTGTCTGGAGTCGTGGCTGGGCGCCGTGAACAGTCGTTGACTTGTGGTGCCGGTGTGTGTACCCTGATAGAAACCCATGTTTAGAATTCTGAAATGCATTGCGCTGCGTGGCATGGCACTTCGCCATGAAAAAGCTGAACATGCTGTGAACCTTCATACACCAGCGGACTCCGTCAGTGGACCAACTGGATGGATCCTTATAAAATATATTATTATTATGTCAGCGTGCTGTTATGTCATTTTAAAGGCAGTCTTTTCATTTTTATTTCAGACCTGATGGAGGACACACACCGTCATGAGAAAATGAGTAAAAAAACTGACTCACTGAAGAGAAAAGACAAAGAACGTGTCACCTGCACTCAGTGTGGAATAAGTCTGGCAAACAAACCCAATCTCCGGCGTCACATGAAGGTCCACACTGGAGAGAAACCATTCACATGCACACAGTGTGGGAAGAGTTTCAGTCAATCATCAAACCTTAAAAAACACATGAGGATCCACACTGGAGAGAAAACGCACAGATGCGATCAGTGTGGGAAAACATTTTTGATGGCTTCATACCTGAAGAAACACCTTCAAATTCATACAGACGAGAAGCCTTATGCATGCTCTGTGTGTGGAAAGACTTTGAGACATCAACGTAGTTTAAGAGATCATCAGAAGATCCACACCGGTGTGGGAGAGTACATGTGCTTTAAGTGTGAGAAGACTTTTTATAGGGCTGAACATTTGAAAATACATGAGAGGATTCACACTGGAGAGAAACCGTACATTTGTTCACACTGCGACACAAGATTCAGATATTTAAGACATCTGAAAACACATGAGAAGATTCACACGGGAGAGAAACCTTACATGTGTTCACACTGCGATTCAGACAGTTAAAAGGACTGAAAATACACGAGGGGATTCACACCAGAGAGAAACCTTAAAGGGGAGGTCCACAGTTTTTTTAAAGGTTTGATTGTGTTTATGGACTGCAAAACAATGTGTGTTTGTGATTCATCTGTAAAAAAAAAACATGTTATTCGTTCACATATCTTACCCCCATGCAGGGCCGGCTCGTCCATAGAGGCGACCTAGGCGGCCACCTAGGGCAACAGTTAAGAGAGGGCGGCATCCGCGACACCTCCCTTACCACCCGCGTCCTCAGTTATGTCCGCGTCACCTCCCTCACCACCCGCTTCTCAGATATATTCGCGCATAGACGACAGAACAGAGAGGGCGGCGTCAGCGACACCTCCATCAGCAACCGCGCGTCCTCAGTTATATCCGCGCATAGGACGGCAGAATAGAGAGCGCAGTGTCCGCGACACCTCCCTCCCTCCCTCAGCACCCCTGCGTCCTCAGTTATATCCGCGCATAGTGCGCTGGAAAAGAGGTCCGCGACACCTCACTTCCTTTTCATAACCGGTCACTTTCGTTTTCACATTGGGGTTGAGGGCGACGTGATCGTCCTCTGCCTAGAGCGGCAGTTCAGCTTGCTCCGGCCCTGCCCCCATGAAGAAAACATCATATTTCCTGATTAATCAGCTAACCTAGAAGTTTATTTATAAACTTATTTCGAGAGGAGCATGTGGTTGCTTATGATTGATGACAGCTGGTCCCGCATCACCAGAGTTTATTTTAGGTATCTTCGCCTAGAAGAACCCCCCCCCTTTCCTCCCCTACTCCTCCACCTTTCCTGTTATATGGTGGCACGCTGGTCCAGTGGTTAGCACTGTTGCCTCACAGCAAAAATGCCACTGGTTAAAATCCTTAACAGGCCAGGTGTCATGTCCGGGCGGAGTTTATATGTTCTCCCAGTGCTAGCGTGGGCTTTTCCCGGAACTCACTGCTAACGTGCTGTTATCAGAATCAGATGTTGTTGTGACTGAGACCGAGGCGACTCAAGTTCTCACAATAATTAATTCATATTAATCTAAATGCAGTGTTGGGCTGTAGCGTCTCTACAAGTAGTCACGCTACTCAGGCACGTGCACACATAGGGCTCAACCTGTGCAGTGCACATGCCCTTTTTAGTCTTGGATAGAAAGTGCTTTTCCAAAATGATCAAAAGCGCCACCGCGACGCGACACACCCTCCGTCCCGCCCTTTAGTAGGCGCACGACAACACTGATCTTGAGTACGCGCGCTCAACCCCCAAAAATAGCGAAGCTATTTTATTAGTCAAATATCATCCACACAAGCTACATTTACCAATCGAGGATCAATAAGTGACGGCACCAACATTCACGGAGCTGTGAGGCCGGTGTCTAGCCGATGGAAGTTAATCCATAGCTGCATCCCAAATCGCATACTTATGCACTATTCTACGCCATTTTGTAGTATAAATAGTGTAAGTAGTGCGTTCACTCTGAAAACTCTAAAAATAAAAAGTGCACTTTAATTACCCGGATGATGCACTCATTCGGCCGCTAAAATGAAGTGTGTAATGATGGACACTTCACGCACTCAACGACCGCAGGTTTGCTTACGTAGCGGAAGGGGCGGAGCTATCGGACGCACATGTTGAATAACTTTATTTATTTTGGATGGTGAAAGCAAAATTCTCCTACGAGAGTGATTATAGCGCCTCCCGATGGTGAATGCGGCAATAATCACGGCAGGTATATTTGATAATTCGGTCGTTTATTTCACTGATTTGACAACCATCAAACGTCATCAGGGAAACGGTTTAAATTTCCGCTTAGTAAAAAAACATTAGTGCTCCATTTGGGATGACACTACATACATGTACTATCCTGTTGAGTGTGTAAGTACATAAGTACATAGTGCATGAGTGCATAGTGTGCCATTTGGGACGCAGCTCATATGAGGAGAAGGATGATTTCTTCTTCTTCCTGTTTTACGCTGTTCGACAACAAACTTTTTGGTGCGTTACTGCCACCTCTGGTGAAACTTGCTTGATGGGAAGATGACTGAGGGAGAGGAGTTATTTCTGAAGCAGGATTCCTTGTGACCATACCTCGAGAAGTACATGTTAAGATGCAATAACTAAATTTCTGATGCTGTGCTCAAAAAATAAAAATGCTTTTGTATATATAACACTAATAATGCTTATTACAATACACACACACACACACACACACACACATATATATATATATATATATATATATATATATATATATATATATATATATATATAAAATATTTCCCTTTACTATAAATGACTATAGTATTTTAATTGTGTTTTAGCTGTTATATAATGTGTTTCTGTTTAGTACAGCATATTATTTACAGTTAATAACTGAACTGAACTATTCTGCCTCATATGTTTCATTGACAGGTTTATCGATCACTAAGATATGATTGACTTGGATTTAAGTTGCTTCGATTTAAAAATGAAAATTGTAAAAATAGCTTTGATGTAGCTAAGCTACTTTTGCCATGTAGCTTTTAGCTTAGCTTGCTACATTTCCCAGGGGTGGCTTTAGTGTAGTTAAGCTACATTTTAAGTAGAGTAGCTAATAGCTTAGCTCACTACATTTGTCAAGTAGCTTGCACAACTTTTTACAGTGTGATGAATCGTTTAAACAAATTCAAATGTTAATTTCAGAGAACTTAAAATATTAATTAAAGGTTTTTGCTGCCTAATGAGTAAGTTAAGCACACCTGTTTATGTTTTGATGCCAAAACTTGATATTTTAAGTCATGTCAATTATATTAACTTAATTTCTTTAGTAATGACAACAGCGGGGTTTAGCCTACAGTGTGGAGTGAGCCGGATACAAAACACATGGAGTGTGGAGCAGTAGAAACTCTTGCTGCTTCACTCCGCTCACTATTTACTATAGTATTAGTTCATGTGTGGTGTCTGCTGTCAATTAAACTGGTTTTGTTTGTCCTATGATGAGTTGAACTAAAACAAGCAGTTTTACTAAATGTTTTTGGTGGTGGTTCTTTATTTATTTATGTATTTATTGTCTGCTTAACATTGATTATGATATGATTAGTTTGACTGAAGCTGATTTCCTCCTGGCGCCCGGTTACCGCTGTAAGTCGCTGTTGCTGTGATTGTCCTCTAGATGGCAGTAGTACACAGCACACTGATAGCGGAGGCGCTGGAGGAAAAGCTCAGAACAAGCAACATTAAACTCGTGTTGAAGATGAGAAGAAACAAAGAGGCTGCACTGCCGCGGCATCATGCACTAAATTCCAGGGGTTTCATTACCACGACGTAAAATGGGCGTGGTTTGGTCGGTGTTTGGGAAACGCCCCCTCAAAAAAAAAAAAAAAACCAATACTGAGAGGTCACCGATCATGCGCAGTACAGGTTCTTTTTTAGCGCGGTCATTTCAAACAGGATGATTATGGATAAAGAATCTACCGCGGTGGATAACGAAGGGAAAAAAACAATCATACAGGTTATTTTTTTTGTTTTTATAATGTTATATTTTAAAGATTTCATTAGCAAAAACAGCCGACCTCGTTTTACTCATTTACTGTCTCTGGGCTTTTGTACTTCCATGGTAAACCAAATAATAATGGTTTTGGTACATTAGATTAACTGTGTTTTTGTAGTTTAAAATATGGTATTCAGTCATGTTTAAACAAATAAATACCACATTTTCTGTAATAAACCGTGGTTAATTTTTCTTTCTCGATCTTAGTTAATTAACATAACTTATATTTATTTTCTATTATTATTTAAAGTCATCACACACAAAACACCTGGGATCAGGACAGGTATCTGATGTTACTGTATATAAAAGTGATCATACATGAAACACCTGAGATCAGGACAGGTATCTGATGTTACTGTTTATAAAAGTGATCAACTTAATATGGACAAAACTGAGATAATTTTTATTGGCACCCCAGCACTTACCAGCAATATTCCCACCAGTTATTCCTGTGAGATTGCTGGCTTGCACATTAAAACATCTACTTCTGTAAAAAATTTAGGTGTAATCTTTGACTCCACACTGTCTTTTCAGTCACACATTAAATCTGTCACTAAATCTGCATTCTTTCACATACGTCGCATTTCACAACTGCGTCCCTTAATCAGTAGCAAGGATGCTGAGACTGTTATCCATGCATTTGTCTCCTCACGCATCGACTACTGTAATGCTCTTTTCATTGGCCTGCCTGCCAGCCTCATCTCCAGAATACAGTATATTCAAAACTCTGCAGCTAGAATACTCACTCATACCAAACGTTCGGCTCACATAACCCCAATCTTGTATGATCTTCATCGGCTCCCGGTTGCATACCGGATTAAATTCAAAATTCTTCTCCTTGCATTTAGATCCTTAAATAACCTTGCACCCTCCTATCTCTGCAACATGCTTGTCCCCTACACCCCAACTCGCTCTTTACGGTCTGCTGACTCTGGCCTTCTTGCTGTCCCTCGGTATCGCCTCTCTTCAATGGGGGGCAGATCATTTAGTGTTATTGCACCCAAACTCGTGAACTCTCTACCACACTCACTCCGCTCTGCTAATAATATCTCTGAATTCAAATCCTTACTTAAGACTCACTTATTTTATGAATGCTTCGCATCTGATCTACCAAACTGACCACTTAATCTGATCCACCACTATCCTGCTCATATGTCTCTTAGATCTTGTTTGTGTTATTCAAGTTTGTTATATTTGACCTCATGTATGTTTGTTTATCTTTTTGTTGCATTCCTTGTAAAGTGTCCTTGATCTCTGGAAAGGCGCTATATAAATAAAAATGATTATTATTATTATTAGGCTGGCTTGTGTAGCAAGCCAGACTATTGTTATCCTATTTTTCTTCTGAGACTAAAAATTAAACTCTATCTCCTCCTAGAGCTTTCAAGCTATGACCACCAAACTCACACCAGACCTCCAAACTGGTCTGACTCGGGTCGCTATATCTTTTCCGACTGATCCGACCTTTGGTTTTCCAAAAAACGTCCCGGGACCGTCTGAAAAATCCCATTGACTTAACATTGGACCAAACTTTGTGACCTCATAACTCTGCATCAGACTGTCCTACAGGCTTCTAACTGGGCTCATTTAACTCAGACTACCTAACTGCCAATAACTGATGAGCTTTTTAACTTTCTGGCCACACCCTAGCAACCACTTTTGGGACCCTAGAAACTGTCCCATAGACTTTCACTGCAAAAGACTCTCATTGACTTTACATTGGGTCAAACTTTGTGAGCTCATAACTCTACATCAGACTGTTGCAAAGACTTCT